TAATATCAGTAGCATTGATAGGAATGTCATGGATAATAATCAGGAAGTAGCATTGATAGAATGTCATTGATAATGTTTGTATTGTTAACTGCAATGTGGTAATGCTAACAATGATATGAGAATTTTGTGATGATGAAACAAAGGATGCGTTTTTCACAGTGTTGGGGGCTTGAGGTACAGTCTCTGGAGGCATGAGCAAGGGGATTGTCTGGATTTTTAGGTCTGTCCCTTGCCAGTGCTCAGAAGATAAATGTGCCTTGGGATAAGTGCCCAAGCATTGGCCTTGCATAGGACTAGGCAGCTGCTGAGACTTGTAGTCCCACGCCTCAGGCAGCACTGAAAAGCGATTCCCGAACGGAGCTTCAGAGGCCCGCTAGCTGTGAGTTACCCTGCTAAAGTAGGCACCCCCATAAACCACAGCTGGCTGGGACTTGTAGTTCCCCCCACTTCAGGCATGCCCTGAAAGTGAGTCCTCAAAGGACCTTCGCAGACGGTAAGCTGGCTGGGACACTTTGTTTGCAGTTTCACTACTTCAGGCAGACCCTGGGAAAGTGAGTCCCAAAAGGTACTTTCAGGAGGTAAGCTGGCTTGTACTTGTAGTTTTCCACACTTCAGGCAGCTCTGAAACGAGTGAGTCTCAAAGGAACTTCAGAGATAAGCTAACAACTGAGCTTTGTAGTCCCACTGGGGAGACTGCTCTGGAAAGCCATTCAGAATGGAAATTTTAGTCCCAGGGCTAAAGTGTGAGCCCCCACTGCTTGGGGAGAGTAAACAAACTAGCAAAGAGGCCTAGAATGACTGGCCTAGTCAGTGGGGGCTGGGAGCCTGAAAGCCTGTCCAGTTAATCTCACTGGTCAAGGTGTGTTCACAGGCAGACAGACAGAGAGGACAGAGGCAGCAGGCTTGGATTACGAGTGGAAGGAAGGTTGGATGCTTGGGGTACAGAGAGAGGGGCCTCCGGCCCAGACCCAATCACCCCTTCCCTAGCACTCGGTGGTCCAGAGCAGCTGCCCAGGCCTCTGATAAGATGGTGTCTGGATTCAGGAAGGTGCCGGCTGATTGGATTGGGCCACAGAGGCAAAGGGAATGGCACAGTCAGGAATCCAGAGATCAGCTAGAGTCTGGGCAGTCCTAATGGTCGCGGGTCATTCAGCAGGATACGATGTACCAGAGCTATTCTGAGGAGCCTTGGGAAACTGAACACCAGCCCTGGGTTTGTGGCCTACCCCATGCCCGGTGAGCCATGAGGCAATGGAGCATCCGGAAGGTGCCTACTGTTTTGCCATCATGGGCCTGAGCAAGGAGCATGGGCCACCATCTCTAACCAGCAAGCTCCAGACGAGCCAGCGCTTCACTACCCCATGTGGCTTGCCTGAATCCTTGGGAAATGCTAGAATTGGGGTTGAGAAGGCACTGACCGCCATTCCTTGCGGTCAGGAGTGGCCCGCAATGCGCAGTGGACGTGGGTGCAGTTGTCCGACTTTAGGGCCTCGCAGTGCTCGGCCCTGTCTGGGAAGAGCCACTTATGGGCCCTGTCACTAGTCTGGAACCAACCGCTCCGTACCCAGGATCGGACAGTCAAGAAGGGTAACTGTCAAGATGGGGCATGTCAGTGGTTCAGTTTAGGAACCCATCAGAAAAAAGAGACCCCCAGAGATCTGGGCGTGGGGAAGACTGAGGCTGAGAGTGAGGCTGGTCTGCTCCCCAGGCCCAAAAAGCAGGTTACATTCAGTCGCGGGTACAGCTGTGGCTATGGTAAGACGCCTGGATGCGAGGACATCATGGCTCATCCTGGACCTGTGACTGACCTAGCAGGAGACAGGAAACTGGCAGGAACTGGTGTCCTGGATGCTAGAAGGTAACGGAGGATATAGTCCATCTTGGATGAAATCTGAAGAATACCTGTGGGCCCCACTGGGAGGCGAGGCCACTGAGAATTCGCCTGTCCGGTATTGTCCGAGTGCACACGGACGCTACTACCCATTCAGGCCAGATGTAGTCCTAAGCCTGAGGAAGAAGGTAGGAGAGGGAAATCTTCTTCTCTACCTTGATATAAGAAGCTACATAAATTAATATGTTAGCAAAGGACACCCCTGAGCCAAAGTGTTTTGTGGACAGTGGGCACCCCGGCAGTTGCCACGGGATTCGGATGATAGCTACAGCCGACTGGTGTGACAACGGGTTTGCACACCCGTGACCACTCACTCCATGGTCGGCCTCACCAGCAGCGTGCTGCTGGAGAGAACGGCTTCCTGTTCAGATCCTAACGAATTTGGTCCTCTCCGGCAGTACAGCGGTACCAGGACGTCCCAAGAGGTACCTCTGGACAGAGGTCGGTTGCGTCCAGAGAGAACTCAGTAAGCTCACTCCTTGGCAACCACTTAAGGGGGAGGTGTGGCAAACTTGCTCACTCCTTGTTGGAAAGGAGTCCCCCTTTACACTCTGCTTTTCAGTTTTCTATCTGTTTATCGTGAGGCATTTTCAATCACTCCTCACATCCCCCTGCATTCCTGTGAGGCAGACTTTATCTCCTGCAAATGGTGTGAAACAACCAGGAAGGACATGAGAAGTGGAGCCAGCAAGAGTGTGTCAATTTTTATCACCCAAAACTATGTTAAGCCCACTCTTTATCAAAGGGACCAGAAATAAGTGCCCAGTCCTTAATGGTCAACTGTATGGGTTCATATCACAGGATATGAGCTAGTAATTTAGTGTAGAGTTCCCCAATGACCACTCCCAAAATTGGGTAGTCAAGCCCAGCCCCTGCCCCTGAAGAGGAACCCTTGAAGACTTATTAAGTGTGAGTTTGAGAAACTCTCACACAACACACACACAGGATCTCCCCGAGCCCCCAACCTCGTAACAGAGGAGATCAAAGAAGCTTTCTGCTCACATGGACTACTTGAATTTGCTAAAACCAGCAAGGCAAGTAACTACCCGTGTATTTTCTCGCTATACTATTTTGCTGTGTCTATATAATCATAGCATATATATATAATTTTGTGATATCATCTCTTTGTTACATATTTATTTTATGCCATCCAACGCTTTTAGTTTAAATAAATCTTTCTTTCTGAAAGTGTTAAACTTGTTTCTAAGCGCTTACTCTTGCAATTCACGAATCCCCTGCTTTTGATAGAGAGACGCTACTGTGGTTATATTTCTGTATAGCAGGTCTGCGGGCCGTGCTATATAGATCAATATTTCAATCATTATAGTGTATATTTAGATAACGTGAGTTTTCCTTCCCAGTCCATCCGACAAAAGTGGTGAGTGGCAGTACATAAGGGGGTTAGTTGCGTAACTAACCCGACCCGAGTAAACAAGCGCAGTCCAGTTGCTGCAGCGCACCGATTGTAGTCCATTATGCTGGGCAATCGTTCGCTGTGTAGGGTGCAGCTGGGTGGGGCCTTGTTACACGCGCGTCACACCGCGGTTTTGGATCGGCCACAGGCCCTTCGTTTACCACGAGTTTTGGTGAGAAGGTCTGGGTCATGACGCCGTGGGCGTGACGTATTACTGTTAGTCGCAAAGGCTGTGCGAGAATTTGTCGCCTGTTAAGGTGGCGGGCGACTGCGGGTTGTGACAGGGGCTCTGCTAGTGGCATTCTTGAATGTAATGGGGGAGACTTTGTTGGGCACTCCTGAATGTAATAGGAGAATCTGCAGGAGGCACTTCCTGGATTGCAAAGGGTGACTCTGGCTTGACACTCCACAGGAGTGTAAGTGAGAGACTCTGGTACGCTCCTGGTAGGTAAGAGGAGGGCCTCTCTTGGAGGTTCTCCTGGGTGTAGGGGCCGACTCGGTTTCAACATTTCTAAAGGAAAGATAGCAATGCTGAATGTAGGAGGTGGGGTGGTGGGGGGGTTCTGCTTGGCACTTTCTAAGTAAAGGGGGGCTCTGATGGGTACTTCCTGGAGGTGCGAGTGAGTGACTCTGATGGGCACTCCTGGGTGAAAAGAGGGACTCTGCTTGGAAATGCTGAATATTAGGATGGACTCTATTCTGGACATTCCTGAAGGTAAAGGGGGATCTGAATAGGCTCGTCCCTGGAGTAGGGGGGACTCTTCAAAAACAGTTTATTTTTCATACCCACAAAATAATTACAGTGCTTGGAAAAATATCATACCCCTTGAAATATTTTCCATCATTTGTCATGCTTCAGCCAAAAACGTAAATGTATTATATATGGGATTTTATGTGATAAACCAACACAAAGTAGGCACATAATTGGAGTGAAGTTGAGAAGGGAAAATGATAAATGGTTTTTTCACAAATTTTTTACAAATAAATATGTGAAAAGTGTGGTGTAGCATTTGTAATCAGCCCCCTTTTCCACTGATACCCCTAACAAAATCTAGTATGGAACCAATTGCCTTCAGAAGTCAAATAATTAGGTAAAAACAGATGTCCACCTGTGTCCTAATTTAATCTCAGTATAATACAGCAGCTGTTCTGTGAAACCCTCAGAGGTTTGTTAGAGAACATTAGGAAGCAAACAGCATCATGAAGCCCAAGGTACACACCAGACAGGTCAGGGATAAAGTTTGCGGAGACTTTATTAAAGCAGGGTTAGGTTATAAAAAAATATCCCGAAGGCTTTGAACATCTCACAGAGCACGTGTTCAAATCCATCATCCGAAAATGGAAAGAGTATGGCACAACTGCAAACCTACCAAGACATGACCATAAAAAATCCGCACCTAAACTTGACAGGCCGGGCAGGGATGGAGAGCGTTCATCAGAGAAGCAGCAAGTGGCCCATGGTAACTCTGGAGGAGCCTGCAGAGATCCACAGCTCTCGGGGGGGAGAATCTGTCCCACAGGACAACTATTAGTCTTGCACTCCACAAAATCTGGCCTTATGGAAGAGTGGCAAGAAGAAAACCATTGTTGAAAGAAAGGCATAAGAAGTCCCATTTGCAGTTTGCGAGAAGCCATCGTGGGGGACACAGCCAAACATGTGGAAGAAGGGGCTCATGGTCAGGAGGAGACAAAATTTAACTGGAGGACACTGAGTGGAAGCCAGTGGAGGGATTGGTGCAGAGAGGGATGGAGGCCAGTGGAGGGATTGCCCAGAGAGGGATGGAGGACACACTGAATGGAGGCTAGTGGAGGATTGTGCAGAAGAGGGATGGAGGACACTGAGAATGGAGGCCAGTGGAGGGATTGGCAGAGAGGGATGGAGGACACTGAGTGGAAGCCAGAAGAGGGATTGGCAGAGAGGGATGGGAGAGACACTGAGTGGAAGCCAAGGAGGGATTGGCAAGAGGGGATGGAGGACACACTAGAGTCTGAGGACAGTGGAGGGGATTTGGGCAGAGAAGGATGGAGGACACTGAGTGGAGGGCCCAGTGGAGGGGATTGTCCAGACAGGGAGATGGAGGACACTGAGTGGAGGCCAGTGGAGGGATTTGGCATGACAGGGATGGAGGACATCACTGAGTGGAAGCCAGTGGAGGGATTGGGCAGAGAGGATGGGAGGACACTGAATGGAGGCCAGTGGAGGGATTGTGGCAGAGAGTGGATGGAGGACACTGAATGGAGGCCAGTGGAGGATTGGCAGAGAGGGGATGGAGAACACTGAATGGAGGCCAGTGGAGGGTATTGGCAGAGAGGGATGGAGGACACTGAATGGCGGCCAGTGGAGGGATTAGGCAGAGAGTGAGGATGGAGGACACTGATGGTTGGTAGGTGTGCCTGGCAGCAGTATTTCATGGACTGGAGGGGGGATGGCCCTAATGTAAAAAGGTAAGCCAATGAGGAGGTGTTGCAGTAAGTAGTCCAAGGAGAGAGATTACCAGGGAGTGAATTAGGAGCTCTGTGGTGTCATTGGTTTAAAAAGGGGCGTATTCTGGAGATGTCGCGGACGGTGAGGCGGCATGGATTTGGATGTGGCGGCCTGAAAGGATAGTTCCAGTGAATCCAGGTTCCCCCCAGCACCTTGGTGACCAGCTGCGATCATTTGCATTGTCCTTGCCGCCTCAAAAGCAGTTAAGTACAAAGACTGCGCTTCACCTTGTTTGGTTGTAAAGCCATAGTCGGTGATGATTTTATGGCGCCATTAGACGAGATGTCCGCGGTCTAGTGGCTGTGTAAATGCTGAGGTCTCCTCTCCAGCACAGGCAGTTATGTGCTTATTTAATCGTAGCCGAGTTTAATTAACGGCTAATTAATCTGTAACAGCGAATGTGTGTGCGCTACACGAGCTTCTACTTTTACTGCGCGCTAATGACGCGGCTCACCATAGGAAGTGGAGGTGAAGGTGCGCTTCAGACATAATGGAACGGAAGAAGCGCTGCCTGCCTTTGTGTTCCATCCTGGTACCCCTGTAGCCTCACATTCTGGAAGCACTTAATGCTGAGATTCTGTAGGTCATGGGTGTCAAACTGGCGGCCCTCCAGCTGTTGCCAAACTACAAGTCCCAGGAGGCATTGCAAGATTGACAGTTACAAGCATGACTCCCAAAGGCAGAGGCATGATGGGACTTGTAGTTTCGCAACAGCTGGAGGGCCGGCAGTTTGACATCGTCTCTGCACAGCCCCCTACTGCTGAGATGTAGGCACGGCGGAGGATGGATAGACAGGGAAGGACAAGGGACAAGAGGATGAAGTCCTGCACAGAGCCACGCTTAACCTTGGAAGAGTGCATGATAAAAGGAACAGAGTCAAAGAACACTAAGCAAAATCAGCAAAATAAAGGCCTGATCCCTCAAGCTGCAAGTTGTACTTTAAATCTGACCTCCAGCCTCCCCTTCAGTCCTGCACAGTTGTACCGGCTCCTCCCCTTCAGTCCTGCACAGTTGTACCGGCTCCTCCCCTTCAGTCCTGCACAGTTGTACCGGCTCTTCCCCTTCAGTCTTGCACAGTTGTACCGGCTCCTCCCCTTCAGTCCTGCACAGTTGTATCGGCTCCTCCCCTTCAGTCCTGCACAGTTGTACCGGCTCCTCCCCTTCAGTCTTGCACAGTTGGCTCTCCTCCCCTTCAGTCTTGCACAGTTTTACCGGCTCCTCCCCTTCAGTCCTGCACAGTTGTACCGGCTCCTCCCCTTCAGTCTTGCACAGTTGTACCGGCTCTTCCCCTTCAGTCTTGCACAGTTGTACCGGCTCCTCCCCTTCAGTCCTGCACAGTTGTACCGGCTCCTCCCCTTCAGTCCTGCACAGTTGTACCGGCTCCTCCCCCTTCAGTCCTGCACAGTTGTACCGGCTCCTCCCCTTCAGTCCTGCACAGTTGTACCGGCTCCTCCCTTCAGTCCTGCACAGTTGTACCGGCTCCTCTTCACTCTGCCAGTTTCCTGTATACCACATTGTGGCTCCGGCTCTCCCCTGTTCTGTTAGTGTGGACACTGACCCTAGGTTCACATCTGTGCGGGTGTTGCCGCTGCGGATCCGCATGAAAATCCATACTGCTGCACCACCCGCACAGAGAAATGCGGACCCGTGGATGTGTGCCATTAGTTCTAATGGTACGCCCGTGCGGGCTGCGTTTTCCAGAGTACTGCAAGGATTTCTTTCCCTGCAAGTCCCTGCATGTCACGGGCACGGGTGTCCATTCAAAATGCGGCCCGCACAGCCACATAGGTGTGAACCTAGGTCATTATCTGCCTTCACTGCATAGAGAAAGCACAGAGAACCATTTAATATAGGTGTAAACCTAGGGTCATTATCTGCCTTCACTGCATAGAGAAGCACAGAGACCCATTTAATATCATGTTGAACATTAGCCGTAAGTCATTAGTATGTTGATGGGGGGGGGGGGGGAGACCAGGGAAGGATAAATATAAGCAGATTAAACTTTAGCTCTAAATGCTCTGCATGAATAAATCCCCGAATGTCACAATGTACAGTAACAGTAATATTTTTCCAGAAAAGCTCCCTTTTTGTATTTCAGAAAGCTGTGCTTGAGGTCCAGTCAGTGACTTTGTTTAGGCTGAGATGATGTGATCACTCTGTTGCAGGCAGTAGGAAGCATTTCCTCAGTCTCCCCTCTCCCAGTGATCAGACTGCAACATTGTAACAACTCACAAGGTGCAAGGCTGCAGCAGGGGCTGATCCGTGTCAGACATTTGTGAACAACAAATGAACAAACAGGTCTGACATTTATTTATTTTATTCCAGGTACATATATAGCGCCGTCAATTTATGCAGCACTTATATTGTACATTCACATCAGTCCCTAACCCTCAAGGGGCGTACAATCTAAGATCCCTAACTCACATCCATACATACACATACTAGGGACAATTTATACAGGATTCAATTAACCTACCAGCAAGTCTTTGGAGCGTGGGAGGAAATCCGGGGTACCCGGAGGAAACCCACGCAGGCACAGGGAGAACATGCAAACTCCAGGCAGGTGGTGCTGTGGTTGGGATTTAAACCAACGACCTGAGTACTGCCAGGTGGAAGTGCTAACCATTTAGCCACTGTGGTGCCCCATTTTAGACATGATTGTGTCATCTCTGAGCCAGCAGCCCAGTCCAGGATGATGCCTGAACAGAGATGGCACGGTCCTTCTGGAGAGAAAATCAGATGAAAGCAATGTCAGGGGGAGTCCTGTGATCCCTGTCAGAGGTAATAAATACTTGATATTGTATTTTTACATATAAAGGCCCACATGCTGAGGTAGTCAGAGGTCATTTTAGCATGCCTGAAGTACCATTTATAACTCCCGAAGTACAATAGCAGCTTTGCTTACACTCAGGTCCAACAGTTTATGTGATGCAAATGAGTGGAAAATGATAATGTACCATATGGGGTATGATTTCCTGGTTCAGGTCTGCATATCTGTAACATCATATGGGGTGGGGTTGGGTGGCCACTCACAGGATCTAAAATTCCACCCCCAGAATCACGCACTTATATTGTCCCTTATGAAGGCCACAGACGGGTCAAAAATCGGGCGAAAAAAAAAATCGTCCGATTTTCGCACCGTTAGTGGGTTAATTGGTCGGCCATTTTTGTGGGGTTTTGGCACATTTCTTTTATCGGTCATGTTGGAAATTTTGCGGCCGATTTTCCTGGCAATGATAGACAAATCGGCAGATCGTTTTACCAATAAAAAATCTGCGCATGAGCTGTGACCTGCAAGAAGAAGAAAAAGAAGCAGAAAAAAAGAAGAAAAAGAAGAAGAATTCCAGTCCGCTGTTATTTTTTATATGAAAAGTCTTGCGGTTGCAACAATGTATCCATTTGTATCCGAATAAAAACATCTGTATGTGAAATGGATACAAATGGATACATTGTTGCAACCGCAAGACTTTCATGTAAAATATAATAGCGGAGCTCTCTGCCGGGACAGAAGTAATTATGAGGTTAAATGCCGGTCGTCGACAGGACGAAAATCGCCCGATTTTTTACCATTGGTGGTAACGTCGGCCGATCGAAAGACCAATTTTTCATTTATTTTTTTTAAAACGTCCGGTTTTCGACCCATCTATGGCCTGCATTATTCCTGGAATAGAAGCGTTTTCCACCATTCAGTCCTCTGAGGTTCCATTCTTCTGCTCAGAGGTGATCAGGCTGTATACATTCAGATGTGATTTAATAGAATCCCAATTCCTGCTCATGATTAACCCCCGAATGATCCCTCATTTGCCTCCTCGACACTTCTTACTTCGCACCTTATCTCCCGGTCGGAACGCGGCAGATGTTTCGCGGGCGGAGAAAGGGCACCGGGAGATATCTTCCCCCGCCTTTGGAGGAGCAGAGGTGTTGACGTGGCGGCTCGTTGCCCTCCGAAGGGGCCCGCGAAGCCCCTCGATGACGAATTTATCAGACGCGGCGAGCTTTATCTTCCGCCGTCCCTGACATCTGTTTGGCGCGGTGATTAATTGCAATTAGTGAGCAGCTTGAAAGGCCGTGAAAGAATATTCATCAGAATTCTCGTCAAGATTAATGAGTGATGGTGGCTGGTGTCCACCGCGCTGCTGACGAGCGAGAAATCTGCCCGCTTATTTCCTTCCAGGTTCCGGGGGTTCCGGAAAGCCGACCATACATGACCAGATCCGATTTATCCGGAAGAACGACAGACGCCTGTGCGTGTGTGACCGTCACAAGGACACGGGATATTTTTCAGTCATATATGTAATCTTCTGTGTCAAATCTTTCTTCACTTTTATTTCATGCAGGAGCAAAACATCTCGCTGGTGAATACTTTTCGCAGTATTGTTTCCTGAGCAGTACTCGGGGGAGCATTCATTCATTCATTTTTTCTCTGTGTAATTGGGGTAAACCCGATTGCCGTTATTCAATTTTTTTTCTGCAGAAAAATCTTCAGTATGGCCACTAGATGGAGCTGGTGATCATAGGAAATAAATACTTATATCTTTTGATTGTCAGCTCTCTCTAGTGGCCATAATGAGGAATTTTCCTGATTCACTCTATGAAGAACATTTGTTTAGTAACATGCTTTACCTCCTTTGCTTTTCCTGCGCCACCATCATGGGCAGATATGCTGATGGGCTACCTGATCGTCAGGCCTTGACAGAGTCTTTCAGCATATCTGAGCATGGGCAGGATATGTCCAACGCATGCACAAAGATGGGAAAGTTTGGGGACTTCTGTGCTGCCCGTCTTTGCACATGTGCTGGGAAACCCCACGCATGTGCAGGTATATGGGGAAAATATTTTTAGCCAGCCGCACCCCCACATACACACATGTATGAATGTAAACACATTCACTGAGGGGGGGTGCCTAGGTAGGAGAACATCACTTGCAATACATGTTACATATGATGCGCATGCCATAGGGAGAGCAGTATAGGGCAGCACAGTGGCTAAATGGTTAGCAATTCCGACTGGCAGTACTAGGGTCGTTGGTTCGTATCCCAGCCACGTCACCACCTGCCTGGTGTTTGCATGTTCTCCCTGTGCCTGTGTGGGTTTCCTCTAGGTACTCTGGTTTCCTCCCACACTACAAAGACATGCTGGTAGGTGAATTGGATCCTGTCTAAATTGTCCCTAGTATGTGTATGTATGAATGTGAGTTAGGGACCTTAGATTGTATATCCCTTGAGGGTTAGGGACTGATGTGAATGTACAATATATATGTAAAGTGCTGTGTAAATTGACAGCGCTATATAAGTACCTGAAATAATGAAAATAAATAAATGTAGCACAATACATTTAAAAAAAAATAAATACATTAAAAAAAAATATCCTGTTGAGGGAGGGGGAGGATACAGGGCAAGAGGACACTAAGTTTAGGGTGAAGGTCCGCTTTAACCCATTCAGCCCCTTAGCGCCCCCTATGGACCAGACATTTTGGACCCGTGGGCCCCTGTGCACCCGCTGTGGGCCTAAACAATTTTTAAATTTCTACCATGGGCCTGTTTATTCATCAATTCCATCACTACGTTAATATAACAAAGAAATATATACTATATATGTTTTTTAACTGTTTCCCCGCCAGAAGTACTGCTACAGGGCGGCAGGGCTGCTCAAAATCACATATATATATACACGTGATTTTGCATTAAGGGGTAGGAGGCACGCGGCCACCATTGGCGGCTACAGCTGCCGGTCAACGGGTCCCAGGCAGGGATTCCCTGCTGGCACCCAGCAATCACCAAGGAACAGTAAATGGGGAGAGGTCTGTGTGTAAACAATCCAGATCTCTCCCCTGTCAGCTCCAGCATGCTGCTTTGTATTGCTCTGCACAACTTTTCTCCCTAGTAAAACAGCGCACAGTTAACCCTTTGATCGCCCCAGATGTTAGCCCTTTCCTGCCCAGTGTCATTAGTACAGTGTCAGTGCTTTATATTAGCACTGATCACTGTATTGGTGTCATTGGGATGTCAGTGGCAGTTAGTCAGTTTCCCCCCCCCCCCCCCCCCCCCCCTTGTCAGAATGCCCCCTGCAGTCCTGCTATAAGTCACTGATCGCCACCATTACTAGTATATAAAAAGAAAAACGAATTACGTATATATATCCCGCCATTTGCAGACGCTATAACTTTCACGGAAACCAATTCATTTATACGTATTGGGATTTTTTTTAGCAAAGATATGCAGCAGAATACATTTTGACTGAAGTTTATGAAGACATTTTATTTACTGGACATGTTTTATAGAAAAGTCAAAAATATTTTTTTGTTTCAAAATTGTCGGTCTTTTTTTGTTTATAGTGCAAAAAATTAAAACCGCAGAGGAGGTTAAATACCAACAAAAGAAAGCTCTACTTGTGGGGAAAAAAGGGCATAAATTTAATTTGGGTGCAGTGTTGCATGACCGCGCAGTTGTCAGTTAAAGTGGAGCTCCACCCAAAAGGGGAAGTTCCACTTTAAATACTGGTCCCACGCTCCCCATTAAGGATTGGCACCTTGGGGGAGTGGCTACCCGAATTTGGTACCCCCTCCCACTTCCGCTCTGATCGCTTTCACTTTCAGCCTTTCTGTGTCCCAGTAGTACACTGTGTGAGTGATGTAGACAGGGGGGGGACCAGGCAACACCCCAACTCATCTTCACAGGCTCCAGCCCAAGACTGGAGCGCAGGATAGTGGCAGAGCAGGACTGCCAGGTGCAAAGCATGAACGCCGAGACGAGTATTAGATCCACCCAGCAGGCAGCCCA